AAAATCCGTTGCTTCAAATGATGCCCGAAAACTTGTTAAACCGAACTCCGGCATGGAAACGGCAAAAAGAATCGAACTGAACTTTCCTTATTAGGCCAATTAAGACAACTCTGCAGCTCTATAACTTGCCGTTATCAAAACAGTGTCTTGAACCCTTTTGACGCAAATTGGCCGTATCTTTGGCTCATTTTAATTAGTAGCAACGGCATGTCACACTTTATTGTCACTCTAAGACGTCATTTTGCCGGATCTTAATTTTTATTGCTTATAATTATCGCCCGATGGTGTCATGAAGTTATGATCGCTCAGCCTGTGAGGCTTCAACTCCTAAATGGTGTGTTAATTTTAATTTTTCAGTTAGCTGGAAGGGTCCATTCTAGAATGGTCATGATTCAAAAGGGGGGTTGGAGTGAAACAAGCTAATTCCAATCTGGAACGCAATTGAATTTAAAGTTTAGTTGCAAGAATCATACAATTATTCAGTATTTAATTAATTTTGTTCTTTTATGGTCAGAACTGCATTTATACGGGGTGATTCAAAATTTGCGTCATTCCTTATAAGGGGTAATAGGGGCTCACTTGGCACAAAGATACTAGAAAAATATTGAAAGTTTTTTTTCGACAATTTCAAAAAGATACAACAGTTGAAGATCGAATTTGAACTTTGTTATTAAGCATTATTTTGAAAAGGTCTCACGTTTGATTGGTAGCATATTGAAATACTTAAGCATTCGAAAAGAAAAATTACAATCTTTCTGTCAAATTACGAAAATTGTTGATATTAAAAAAGTACTATTCTACAATTTTTTGATGAAAAGTCAAAGGGGCATTGATGTTTTTTGTCATTAACAGATAGTTGTAGGTAGACAGCCTTTGTCAATAATAACAAGCATTTGTCAAACTGTGGCTTATTTCAAAGCCCCTTTCACAAAATGTAAACCAACAGCGAATTTGCAAATATGCGATTAGTTATGGGAAAATGCCACAGTAACATAGCAGAAGCTGTAAGAACTTACACCAGCAAAGAGCTACACACTAGACGAGTGGCCCGAAATGGGCGCAGATAGTGAACAATCTAAAGGTGCTCCGCTTCCAGACCTAGAGGAACAGGTATTGGAGGTGATTGCAGCTGAGTCTTCCAGGAGTACTTGAAGCATTACACAACAACTGCACTTTCTCAAACACCGGATACTTAATTGTCCCGATAACTCCCCCGTGGAAGGGCCTACATTCCTACCATGTATGTAATACACTCCGGACACTACAACACATTAAACCTCTGATCTTCCAAACACCGGTTCAAATTGAGCAACAGTTAATAAACCGAACACGAAACGCTGCTCAAAATATGAGCCCAGACTCAAAGTGATTGGGACACAAAGATGTTTGGAGTGAAACGGGCAGGACTTCTTGCTCTTGGGAACACTTGTGTTTTAACAGCATAATTGTATTTTATTTGATCAATGATATTGACCAATCATACATAACCTTTAACAGGTTGTTTTGGATGACAGTTCTGACCTATGTAGGTATCACGTAGCACTCGGGGGGCTGTTTTGTCGCAGCACTGACTGCAAAGTGACACCGTTACCTCAACGCATGTTATTGTCTCTTTTATTTTCTTTGCTTTATGTTTATCCATGGTTATCAGAGTTTTTAATAATTACGAGAGAACAGGTATTTACAAAATGTTAATTAGGCAGATTACCTTGAAAAACATTGTTGCCATCCTTCTGATCTAGTTTTTTCCCTATTTTTTATGTACTCCCAAGACACCCCCAGACAACACCTCCAGAGGAATTACGCCTTTAATTAATTAATTAATTTTGAATCACTCTGTATACTAGAAAAATACTTCGTTTCAGTGGAAGCATCAAGAACTTAAAAAGCCTGCAGATTTAATTCTGAATAGGTTTTTTTCGACTTAAGTTTCTTGCAATTTCAGGCAAAAAACATCTGTGTCCGATTTTAAAATATAAATTCGTTATCAAACAAAAAAATAAAATGGAGTAAATTCATTATGAAATAGTTTCAATCAACAAGTTTAAGAAATAGTTGACGGAAAATTTCCTTAAAAGATCAGAACATATTTCGGAGACAACAATATTTTTATTTTTTTATGGATAAATTATCTCATGCTTTGGTGCCTAAGAAAATAGACTTTCCGCCAATTGCAAAATTTGGAGCAGTTATAATACGTGATTAGAAACTAAAAGTTTTCTTTAAAAAAATTGTTCTGGATTTTATTTGTAAAATATTATTTTGCTTCTTCCGAATTATATTTATTGTACGTAATTCAAAATGAATAAATGCAGTTCTTTCTGCGATATTGTTTCAAAAAGGTTGTGCGTTCATGAGAAATCTCGATGATTATCGTCGAGGGTGTTTCTATAGGAAGGACTACAACATCTAAAACAACCTTAAACCATAATCAAAACTGTTTCACACCGCAAATTTTCAATGGAATTCAATTATCTTCACACAGAAAGCGGCCGACTGTCAAGTGAAAGGGCGAAACCATAATAAATTAACTGGGTGACAGAGTTCGCGAAGAGAAGCCCTTACTTTAACTGGATTTCGGTTGTTTTAGCAGCTTCGGGTCTTTCGGTCCTTGGAAACTGTGGAGACAATAATCATGGGCGATGCTTCCAATTGGGGTTGCCTAAAGATTGCAAATTAATTTTTTTGAATAAGTGACACAACTGTATTTCTTGAAATACTTCTCTCGTAATAAACGTTTTTGGATTTAAATTAAATTGACATGAATTCATCCCAGCAGATAGTTTTATTTATTCGTAACTGCAGCATGAACTGATGATGAGCAAAACAAGACCACGACCAGAACTTGCATGGTCTTGTTCTTGCACACACAGTCTAAGACTTGCTGTCTTGCTGTCAGGCTTCTGCATTGAATCCTAATTTTATGTTTTTCGCTTAAAGTGATTCGTTGGTATGTAAAGCATTTAAAGCGATCCAATCTTTTGAAAATGTTAAGGGCTACGAGAACTGATTTATTGCGGTTCCATAAAGAATTACTTTTTGCAAGAGTTTCTAAATAAAACTAAACTAATTAATTTTGCTTTTACCGCAAGACCAAGAGCAAGACTACAAGACGAAAACCACTCTTGCCCATCTAGGACCGTGGTATCTTAACGCATGGTAAAATGAGACGAGAGCATGAGAAGTTTTTCACATCTTCAGTACCAAAGAGCCATTCGGTTTATTTCCCCATTACACTTTCATTTTGTTCTTATTCTAACGATGTTGGATCTTAGAGGGTTTTCTGATCGCAGTTTCAATACTGGACAATGAAAAATCATGATGCACATCCGAAATCTACACTAATCCAAAATTGGTGGTTTCACTGGAGGTGTTTTTTTTACTTGAATTTGTATTACCATTTTACTAGAGATCTTTCCAACTTGTCCGACATCACAAAGATCAATTGGCTAACGTGTCAAATACCAGTGATAAACCCAATTCCAGCGGGAACGACATTTTGAATAAAAGTTGGCCGGCTAGTCAATTGAAACTTTATAAAGTCAGCAACTTCCAGCTTTGTGCTTCGGATCCTGTTCGTGACGAGATGACAGGCTCTGGACCGCAAAATGTGGCGTTTTCAACTTTACAAAACTGACCGGAGGCACCGCTATGCCCCCAGCTCAGCGCTGTGCTGTGCGGCGTCAGTATTGTATTATTGCCCATCAGTTTTTGCTTTTACTGCGACAATGCCCTTTGAAACTCCTGCTCGAAATTGATTGTTTCGATGACCGGAAAATGATGAAACGGTTTTCATGTAAGCTTATGGGCGCGTACATTGCAAAATGCACTACTCAGACTAGCGTGAATGGGGGTTAATGCGTAGCTGGCTGCAGGGGTTACACGCAAGGAAGCACCCTATCCGGAATATGCTCTATTATCAGCATATTAATACGGACAACTATTTCTATTCAGGCAATTTGCAGCAAAATTGTTGAACTACTTCAATAATCCATTTTGCCAGAAAGTTTGAACAGTAAACAAAGCAGAAAAAGCAACCCAAGTCTCTATTTTGGTATAGTTCCTCTGGACGCATGTCCTGGGTGTTTAGAGACTACAGAAAAAAATTGTCAAATAACTCATCCTTCTAGAAAATCTGAGACGTTGTTCTGTTGAGCATTATCTAAATACTTGCTGCTTTATGTGTGAACCAATCACGATAACCGAAAAAGAGCAAAATATAATTTTACTGATTGAACTCTTAATTTGATGTTTTCAACTTAGTTTTTACAAGTGAATATTCCAAAGCGTTGATATAGAATCAGGCATATCAGAGCGCAGTTTCCATTACATAAAGTTCATCATAGAACTGTTCAAATTCACTTCATAACCTCATTTCAAACCATCAATTTTCATTGTTTGAATCAAACAGGAAAACGTAATTCTGTTTTTGCGGTACTCTCCAACAAACAATTTTACCACCGTCGCAATTTTGAATCACCCGCACTTTGTCCCATATGACAAATAATTCAAACGTCTTTAAAAAAATGCCAATACAAAACATGCAGTTCTCAACCTAAACTTATTCGTTGTTGTTTGATGAACATAAGAGAAAGTCATAAGAGGTTCTTGTCAGTGTACTAAACAATTCAAGGAGACGAATACAAAAAAAGCTGAACAGGATAAGGATAAACGGTAGACAGGATAAGACGTTCGACCGGAAATGGGACTGTCAAGGATCCCGCTAGTCCCGGAAGTAGGATCGGGAGGCCTGTCAGACGCGTGCCACGCCACCGTTTAATAATACGAATGATAAGAAAACGGTATTGCAGCAAGTCGGGGCTGAGCCGAAGAATAATGGAAAGGTGCATTATTTTGGGTCAGGCCAGATGTTTCGATTAACCGACTTTTTTCATCTGCAATTCAATAATTCAAACGGTAACTGGCATTCAAATTTTAGTGTTTGTTTAACACTGTCACGGCCCAGATTAAATCGAAGAAAATAGGTTGAGATTAGTAACTGTTTCTAGATTTTTTCTTTATTAGTTTGTTAAAGCAATCTAGTTTACACCAATAAGCTACTCTTCTTTAACCTAATCTACTAGATGTACATTTGCAAAGTGTTAGCCTGTGATATTAACTTCGGCTTTGTCATTGGATAGTCACTATTTTAATGTGTACATATATAGGCATACTTCTTTTCTTTTGTTAAAAATCAACGATTAATTCCATGCACTAGTTCATAGGGTTTCACTCGATGTAGTCTTCTTGTTAAGCCATCGTTGTTCAAAAGCTGGATGGCCTCAATGTTGATGTGATTTTGTAGTCTTTGTTCATGACTTTTTGCATAATTTTTGATTACATTGTCCACTGTTTGCATCTTTAGGTCTTTATGGAGGTTGCCATTCCGGATGTACCATGGCGCACCTACGATGTTGCGTAGAACTTTATTTTGATAACGTTGTGTAACATTTCTGTTGCTTTGGCTGGTACAACCCCAGAATTGACTACCATAAGTCCACACCGGCTTGAGGACTTGTTGCTACAGCAAGAACTTATTATGCACTGACAGGGCAGAATTACGACCCAATAGCCAGTACATTTTACGGTATCTTAAATTTAATTCTTCTTGTTTTTTCTTGATGTTTCCATATGAGAATAAGTAATTAATTCGGATCAGTAGAACTTAAATGAAAAACCTCACTAGTTTTACAGTTTAGTTAGTTGGCGTACCTAGGAAAAACTGAACTTAAAAAAAAGTGAAAGTATGATATTTGTAAATTTATAGTAAAATTAGTAACGTAATAGTAAGTAATAAGTAAAAGTAAAGCACAAAAATAATGTAAGTAATAAAAATAAGCGTGATAAGTCGCAGTCTTTTTTGTTTTATTTTTGGCATTGGAGAACCTCAAGCAATCATAAAATGCAAAATAACTTTAGAAAACTACCTAATTTAAAGCGATGTAGATTATTTATGTTCATCTTTAAGAAGCAAAGTTATAGCGTACAGACTATACAAGACGATGGGTTCTTGCTTGAAACTGTCCTTTGTACTATTGACGTTATACTAAAACGAATAAATTGAAGAATCAAACGTCGAAAGCAAAGTATGGAAAAATATCAAGGAAAGAACATATGAACCTTGTGCCAACATGATTATTGATAGTACAAAATAAAAGAACTAAATACAGTTGGGCCCATAACTGTGAAAATTTCTATTAGAAAAACAATTATTTTGAAAATCGTTTGAAGAATATAAGCAACTACATGCAAAAAAAGGCATGATACAGAATTTTAAACACAATCACTGACTGAGGTGTTGATCTAAGTTTAATAAATAGTTAATAATTAAGTATAGTTCTACATTTAATCATCTTAAGCGGTCTTTATTAATTTGCCTTCAATTTCATTTCCAGACCTTCACTTCCAGTAATGAATGAATCAATATCTGAAAGTATCTCACGGTTACATGCCAATTATATTTGTCAGTTATTCATACTGAGGCAGCGCAGAATTGGAGCCAGTCCATTATAAATTCATAAATAACGTCAAAGGGAATATTGACGATCGGAGAAACTTTTTGTCATCTGAGAAAATAAAGTTTTGATACACGACAATAAGGGGCTTAAATGAGTGACAAAAATGTGATCGTTTTCGCACAAAAAAATAGCGTAAACCTCTCAGTTTTTTTCATTTTAAGCTGCAAGTAGGTTAACTCATAATATTAGCTAGCTTTAGATGAAAGTTTACATTTTAAAAGTTATATATGTAGTAGCAAGAAAAGTTTTAAAGACGGATAATCGAATTGAAAATATAGGCTATACCAAAACTCCCTACACTCCTAACCGAATGAATGTAAATTAATTTCTCGTTTTGTCGCTTAATTTATTCATATCGGTTATTGCAAATTAAAAACGGATCTATCATAGGATCAATTTCGGTTAAGACACCCATTATCTTGGGACGAGTTCTGCAAAATGCGGTTTGTTTCCGCGATGGGTTGAGGAGGGTTAAGAACGTGTTTATTGAGATTGATGGGATCTCTTACACATTGCAAGAAGTGCAGCTTATAAATATTTACATATGTAGGGTAAATCCCTGTAAATTAAATTAATTAATTAAACCCAGCAAAGGTGGTTACCGGCATATGTTGCAGACAAAGTTTTGTCTTATTAACTCAGGAAGGTTTTCCAGTCATTTTACTACTAACGAGGACCCTATAGGAAATAAAAAATTAGCTTCCGTATTTTTTGGCTGAAGGTTTTCCTTTTTGGCTGAAGGTTTTGAATTTCTTTCAGATGTATTAGCTAGTCATATTGACTCGCTGATTAACTGCTCAGAAAAAGTACCAACTCAGCAGCTAAAACTTGTAGTTTAAAATAAGCAATTTTGAACGTTCTTGCAAAAAGTGCAAGCAGTAATAAGTAGAGTAAAAGGTCCTCAAGTCAAGAAAAGCACATCGGTCCTTCGAAGGCGTTCAGCTAAGGAAAACTGTCAGGTAATAAAGCGCACATGTAAGATATAAAACACGCAATCTGGCCATCGCACGCGAGTTCCGCCATATTGTCGTCCTTTGTGTCGCCGATGAGAGATTGTCCTGCGAGTCGGTCGCATGTCCTGCTGGTGATTAGAGTTTTACACTAAAGACCCATTAAGTTAAAGGCTGAACAAAAGGCGATCGAACAGGATGAAAACGCGACCGCACCAGTTCAAAAAATGCCTCAATATCTATACTTGAACATAATGGTCAGATTTGCGGCAGTAAGTGGTGGAATGTGTATTGTTTTTAAATAATTTCCTGCTGTAGTTTACAAGGATGCTATAATTAAATTTTGATAAAAAGTTTTCACTTTCTGCACGAGATTAAATTAATTAATCGCATCGTGATAACTGATTATACCATTCATTAATATTTTTAAATATTAAACTAACTACCTAATTTTTTCTTGCTTAAATATCACAAATATGCTGCGTATTGAAGTGCGACCAAACTTGCTGGAACCTAATTACCTTCATTGTCATTGAATTTCTCGCGCTGAAGAGCCATTGTTTCGTTGGCTGTGTAGCCAGAAATTGAGGATATGGACCTGGACGATATGTAGTTCCAACAGAATGGTGCCACTTGCCACAGAGCGAATGAAATAATGGCTCTTTTGCGCGAGAAATTCAATGAACGTATTCTGTCACGTCGTGGCTGTGTTAATTGGCCACTTCGATCATGTGATTTGATACCGTTGGACTTCTTATTTTGGGGATATTTAAAGAAAAAAACAAGAACATTTCAAGAGCTAAAGGATGAGATAATTCGGCACATTAACAGCATTGAACTTCAATTATGTCTCAGTGTCATTGAACATTTGTACCATCGGACAGAGGTAGGCCACCGAAGCCGTGGCGAACATTTGGCCGATATTTTGCTTCACACATATGTAATTGACATGGATCCTTCTATCATAATTAAAAATATTGAGATACTTCTCTGAAAAGTTTTTGTTTTATTTACAATTAACATCGTGCGTTTAAGTTGGACCGCCCTTTACTTTTATCGCAAATAAGAGCTGTGTTTGTACATGACGATTCTTAAAAATTAAATTTAAAAACGCCTCAAGCAAAAAAGAAACACAAATTAGAATCTAAACTCTCTGATATATTAACATAATAAACAGGTCAACCAAATAAATCGGAAATATATGTGGATATACTCAAATATAAATATGTACCATGGATAAGACAAAAGTAAACTTTAAAATTTAAAAGTTCTTATAATAACTGAATGTAAATGAAAGTGTGGGACAAAAGTCGAAAATTGATAATTTCGATTTCAAGTTCAATTTTAATTTTCCTTTTCTTTTTGAAAATATCAACAGTTGGCGGAATTAAGTATATATTATTATTTGGTTTGTATTGAGAAGATTCCCACTCCCTCTAGGAGTTTTAAGAAAATATCTTACTAAGGTGGTGAGCTTATGGCTTCAGGCTACTGCAGCTAATGCCTTCTAGGAACTACAAGAAAATTTGAATTTCTCGATTTTCAAAACCTCGAAACAGAATTTTTTGCAGTAGTAAAACTGTTTAAAGTAAAATTGTAAAAAAACCAACAATTTTATATACACTTGGACGTTGACTTTCGGATAAGACAAACTTGTATAAAACGCATTATTTTTGCGCAAATAATGTCAGTGAATTTGGTCACAAGAGCTGAGGACCACACCGTATATACAGGGTGACTGATTCAAATTTGGCGCCATTTCCGTTAAGGGGTAATACGGGCTCACTTGGACGGTACGAGAAAAGTATAAACATTTTGTTTTCGATAATTTTCAGAAGATATTAACAGTTGAAAATCGATTTTCAACTTTGTTATTAAGCATTATTTTGAAAGTGTTTAATCATCTTTAAGCATTTTTAATTGGAAGCATATTGGATTACTTAAGCATTCAAAAAGAAAAGTGAGGATCTTTGCTTCAAATTACGAATTTTTTTTATATTCAAAAAGTCCTCTTCTACAATTTTTTGATGAAAAGTCAAAGCGGCAATGATGTTTTTTGTCATTAACAGATAGCTACAGGTGGATAGCCCTTGTCAATAATAACAATAATTTGTTAAACTGTGACTTACTTTGAATTTCCTTTTACGAATTTGCGGATATGCGATTAGTTCAGGGGAAATGCTACAGTAACATAGCAGAAGCTGAAAGAACTCACGCCAACAGAAGGCGAGGAGAGTGGTTCCAGAAAGATAGTGGACGACAATTGATGTTCCGGTTCCAGACACAGAGAAATTGGAAATAATTTCAGCAGAGCCTTTCAGGGTCACTCAGAACATTGCACAACCACTGACATTTTTCCAGGCACCAAATAAATACCGGCTACATTCCTACCACGTATGTAAGCTACACATTAAATGGATTACTGAACAGCGGTATAAATTGAGCAAGCAAGCAAAGTTAATTAACCGAATACGAGAAGCTGCTCGAGAAAAGTGTATAATAAGGTGATTACACAGGCACTTGTTTGGAGTTACAGACTCAAATGTATGTTTTTGTAAGTTGTAAACAAATTAATAATTCGAGGTTATGAGTTTCGAAATAGGTTCCGTCATTCAACGATTCCTGTTGAATTTACCGTTTATCCTTGTCTATCTTATTGTCACATTCACTATTTATAATTATTTTTCATTTATCCATGGTTATCGTCCATTTATCCATGGTTACTGCAGTTTTAAATAATTATGAAGCAACAGGTATTTACGTAATGTTAATTAGACAGATTACCTTGAAAAACATTGTTGCCGTTTTTCTAATATAGTTTTTGCAACTTTCTCAGTTTTTAATAACAATTAATTTGTTTTACTATTATTTTTCTGTACTCCTAAAACACCGCCAGACAACACCTCCAGAGGAATGAGTCCAATTTTGAATCACCCTGTATGATCTCGAAAATTATTCAGTTAGATAGAGAAAGAGAACTGGGCAATAATTTGGTCTAAATCGTCCAATAAAATATATTTTTTTTTTAATAATTTTTACTGTTTTAAAATTTTCTGAAATGCGCTCCTGATGAAGAATATTTTATTGCATGATTTTTGTTTTTGACTTGCTTTAAGGAGTACCACTCGAGTCATAAAGTTTTAAATTTAAGTAATTTTACTCGAGTTTATTTTAAACAGTCCGTTTTTTCAATAAGAATAAAATTACTTTTATTTGAAATTTGTTTCATATTTATATTCAACATTTACAACTCATTTTTTAGTAAAAATAAGACAAGAGCTTGAGTACTGAGTTTTTTTGAATTTTCATAAAATATCTAGTATTCAAATGATCCAACATACGAACAGTGCTTTTTGAAGTCTTTAGGTCCTATAGATAAAATATATTTAAGCTATTAAATTTAACTTGAAAGTAACATAATTGGAAATATTTAGGAGGAGGATAAATCGGCGTCGACCAAATATAAGAAAAAAATGAAAAATCAAGCGTTTCGCATAAGACAATTCTGTTATTTAATTTTCATTATTGCTGTTATTTGGAATAACTTATACTCAAAAATTAGTGAAAGATTTAAGAAAACGAGCTCGATTGCAACAAAGATCATTAAATATGATGCAAGTGCGAATGTTATTTTTTATCAATAGTTTGTTTCATTTTTTCAAACCCTGCTGCTAAATTTCTGTATTATCAGCAACAAGAAAAATCCACACAAAAGAACTTAGATAACGTAACGTACAATTTCCAGTTATTAAAAATATTTCCACAAATCAAGCACTTGAATCAAGTTGCCACACCGTTAAGTTAATCTACCATTAATTACCATGATTCATGCCTGAAAACGTTAAAAGGCCTTTCCATCGGTCAGTCGCATGTCCGCCGTCTTAAAACCGTCCCTTTCCATAACTTAGCATCCCCGCATGGAAAGGCACTTCTCATAGATATTCGTCCAGATAATTCGAAATTGCAAAGAACAAAGGTATTAGGTCGCTTATTGCTTTGTCAATAAAGGAATACGATTATGGATTAAATACCACCTTATAGCTTTTATGCGACCAAGTCGCAAGAGTAATTTATTAGCCGGCAACGATTAAACTTTAAAGGTTAAATTAAATTTGATGGATCGTTTGAGAGAAACATGCACATGATTTGTGTTGGAACTTAGTTTATTAGGGCCTGGTTTGTGTAACTTAAAGTTTACCACACGTCTACTACTAGTGTACTGTATAGATATAGTTTTACTGAATTGAGTACACCAAGGAACACAGTTATTTTTAAATCATTTTCAACTGATTACTCTCTAAAAATGGGAACTTTTTAAGTTGATTAAGAAAAAAACTGTGATTGATTGTCATGTGAGCGGTTTAATTCATTTTTACCTTGATATTTACTTAGCTTTTTCCACAATAAAATATTATATATAAAACGTCTTTCACTTCACCAAACTCACTTTGATTTCGTTAGTGAGAAAGATTGACTTAAATAGACATTAATTGTGATAGTGAATCAGAAATTCAAAATTAAATATGAACTATTTTTTCGTTTGGTGCAGTAATCGGGCACCACATCGGGTACTTCCTTTTTATTCTTCAATTAATTTATCTTCTGAATGGCCAGGATGTGCTTTGAGGGGTTGAAAGACAACTGAAGAAGACAAACCTAAAGAGAATGTAAAAAGCACACCGTGTAAAATAATACCTTTTAAAGGATGCGTTTGAAAGCACTCCAAATGTAATCTGTCTTAGATATCTCGATTATTTTGCGTCGGTTCAGAGGCGCCCATAGTAAAAAAAATGTTGAACATGCAAAAAAGTTTTACAAGCAAGCGAAATGACCCATAGAAGGCAGTTTATACTATTATAACTTCAAAATTCCTCTCGTCAAGTATTATCTAATTGTTTATTTTATTAATTCAGCAATAATATTTTATACAAAAACTGCAACTTTTCAATCCAATAGGTCTCCCCTGAAAAAAAATTAAATTTGGGGGATAAAACTTTTATTACTGTCCGCCGATGTATACAAGATGATTAAAAATTGGTCATTCCTCTGGAGGAGTTGTCTGGGGGTGTTTTAGCAGTACATGAAAACTGAGAAATTTGCAAAGAAAATGTCAAAAAGATGGTAACAATGTTTTTCAAGGTAATAACAATAACATAGATAGAGATAAACGGCAAAATCAACAGAAAAGTAGATCCCTACATTTAACGAAATGTCAAATTGTTAACCAGAAATTGTTCTTTATTGTCATCATAACCTCGAATTGATGTGTACACAAATCAACATACATTTCTGCCTTTACTTCAAACAAGTGCCTGTGTAATCAGCTTATTGTGCACTCTTCTCGAGCAGCTTCTCCTGTACGGCTAATTAACTCCTGCTTAGATTGCAACGGTGTTCAGTAAAAAACCATTGGTTTAATGTGGCCTTGTGGTCTGTGTATCTTGCATACGTGGTAGGAATGTAGCCCTTCCGCGATTTTTATTTGGTGTCTGGGAAAGTGTCGGTTGTTGCGCAATGCTTTCGAATACCTCTGGAAGGCTCTGCTTCAATTATCTCCAATACTTATTCCTGTTTGTCTGAAACCAATCTTCCAGAGCCTCTGGACCTTTTTTGGTGTAAGTTCTATATTAATGTGGCATTTCCCCAAAACTAATCGCATTTTCACAAATTCGATGTTGGTGTACATTTAGTGAAAGGAGCTTTAAAGTAAGTCATAGTGTGACAAATGCTTGTTGTTCTTGACAAAATTAATATTAATGACAAAAAAAGAATTGCCGCTGAAAGTTGACATTCGATTTTCAACTGTTAATATCTTCTAGAAATTTTGGAAAATAAAATGTTATTATTTTTCTCGTACACTCCAAGTGAACTCCTATTACCCCTTAAAAGGAATGACGCCAATTTTGAATCACCCTGTATATATTATTTACGCTCTTGAAACACTGATTTAGTGCTACGCCCCTGCTTCATTCCGGAAACTCAAAAGTCGTGTTTAAAAGAGGAGGATTGTGTATTGTTTCTGACGGAAGATGGTCCTTTGAAAGAAGATATGTAGGTGAAATGAATGAAGACTCGTAATGTGATCAGGTTTCAATAAAGAAATGGTCATCATTTTTGTAGTTTCTTTCGTTGCTTTGCACCACCCATAGCTTCTCAGGGGTCTAAAGCGATTTGCGGTTTTCCTAAACTTTAGAATTTTTACGGCAGCTCTTAATTTGACATCAGTCTATTGTTTTCGATAGAATAAACTATTCAATACAATATTGTTGGTGAAAGATAAAGCCATTTAAAAACTCTTCAATATTGGTCATGATTTTCGTTCGGTTCACGCAAACTTTAATATTTTTACACCCACCTGATGAGATTAGCAGGAATAAAATCGCAGCCTTCATAAAATGGAATGTAAAACCTACTTATTTGTTAACATCACAATGCATCGTTTCGAAGCAATCTGGTTGACGCCATTTTAACTGTTTTTAACCACCTATGTAATTTACCTGTGATAAGAGCATTCTCACAAAAGCCAATTAAACCAGAAACGGTCGTAAAAGATGTTGAGAATATACCAGAACGTGCCTATTACTGATTTTAAAAAAGCATAAACTGTTATCATTGAATGTTCAATAATTTATTGCAAAATTCATCACAGGTTTTCAGATAAGGAAACTGAAAGTATAATTGTTACCAGATGAATAGAGCGATTTGATGTTGTTGCGAAATTATACCTTTTGTTGCCGAAATTATTTTCGTGGATGATGAATACCTTGTGAGCAAGCCCATAATATTAATCCGTGTATTTATCATAACTTCTAAGTGAAATTGGCAGTTTTGACAAGGAAACTCGTCGATTTCTCATTAGAGCTACTGTAAACTGTAAAGCTATTTTTGAGAAGAAAAAGCCAAGTCCATTTTTTTCCTTATTTTATTCATAATTCGAAATTCTATGATGCTCGGTTATGGTTGCTGGTATTTAATTTCGCCTACAGCTTAACTGTATACACATTGAAATTTGTTTGCTTCCGTTTCAGCGAGTTTTACTTATATTCCAATAATTGCTAAAATATAGTTTTTGTATAGTCTTAAGAATCAGATTGTGAGATATATACAAAAAATTTAATTAAATAAATTAATTAAAAGAAAAGATAGACGAAACAAAATTTATAGATACCAAATCGCTGATTTTTTACCAGAAACCCTCACAAGTCTCTTTGGATCGAGGAACTTCCGTACGAAATTTTCATTCAAAATTAATTGTATTGGAATATGGAAAATTGGATAAAACGTGGATAATAGGTTTGAAAGCATGGTGAACTATAATGGAAATTAAACCGAGAGTTTAAAACGGACATATGTACAAAAAAGTTAGCATCAAGCAAATCATTATGTGCAGATTTAAACAAGTTCCAGACAGGGTAGATTTCTGTAAAAAACGGTTATATGTGAAAAAGTGGTTTGAGATGTTAGAATTTGTCTCCTAACATAATTGGAATTTGGGCCTCCTAACATGAAAATCGAATACCTTAAACTCTGGCTCGAATTTATAAAGTCAATACAAATTAAATAAAATTGCTAGTTTTGTTTGATTTATTTAAAAATTTGATATAACAGAATTAACTCATTTGCTTTTTTTCTGTATTTGATAATCAAAATGGTAATTTCTAACTGAAACTTTATATTTATCATTTTCATATTGCTTGTAAATTTTATAATTTACCTACATTTGCAAAATATGCTTATGAAAATAATATTCCCGGTTTTAACAAATATACCACGTTTTATTCCTGTTCCAATTGTAAAGCTTTCAATGGTTTGCGCATATAAAATATTGGAGTATTTTTTGCTTTTACAATAAATTATAATTTAATATTTCCTGGTCAATAGATGTAACCTTTTGATGCATGATATTCCTAACTTTTATGTCGAACCTTCGCAGTTAAATACTCCTATTTAAATACTGTAATTTTGAGCTTTTGGATCAATAATTTAATATTTTAATTCGTTTATTTTCAATAAACCAATTGATGATATAGATTGACCTAAGTATATCTTCCTTTGAAGGGCTGTACATTGTCCTAGCCCATACTTTACTTGTCCAAAATCTGAAGTTAAATGGTCAAATAAAAAACACTTATCAAAATTAAACGTTAGCAAGTAACTGCAAGCACAGACAAAAATGAACGAATTTGCTCGACAAACCAAAATAACACTAAAATTTACTTTTATAATCTACGTATACTGGAAAAGACTTGTCCCGTTTTAGTCCAGGCGGATTAGATTTTTTCGGGCTCTAAATAGATGAAGGTAAAAGTTTATTGGAAGTTGTTGGGAAGAATGTTAAAATATTGGAAGAATAGTTTGAGCGCGATTTCCCGCTGTAAAACATTGTTTAAATAAAAAAAATAAGAGTGCCAAATACCGTTTTTTTACACATAACTTTTGAAGCGTTGATGCTATTGAAAAAAGTTTAATACTTTAAATACTAAATATTTCTACGATATAAGACAAATAAAATTAAAATCCGTTCATTTGTTTAATAAAAAATGAAAAAACCCGCAGATGTTAAGGTTTTTTTTTATTTTCTATAATTAATTTAATTTTGCTTCAAAAAAATTTCACTATAACTTGTTTTGAAGGTCTTTGTGTACTTTATAAGTGGTATAAACTTGAGCTTAAACTATTCGTAACTTTTTGTTCAGTCCTATTTGTTATGTAAAAAGAGCTCTTGCCAGATTCTGAATAAGTTTTTCTTGAGAAGTCGGACATACTTCTCTGAGGCTATATTTTACTCGTAAAGAGTCATACCACAACCTATCTACAATAAAAGCCAATTTGATTACTGAATGGTAAATTGTTTAAATATTAAGTTGAAAATCAGGAGTGTGTGAGCGCAACTGTCCCTCGTCTGAAATTTGTGGGCTGGAATTGTTTATCATCGACCTATGATAAACACGGTCAACGACGTACGTGCAAAGTTCTTGATTTTCGACTTAATTTTTCAACAATTTACCCTTCATTAATCAACGCTTCCATTATTGTAAGTTGGAGCATAACTTTTTACGGGTAAAATAGACTCTCAGAGAAGTCGCTCCGACGTCTCAAAAAAAACTTATTTCAAATCTGGCAAGAGACTTTTTTTAATAGCAAATAGGAATGAACAAAAAGTTCGAATACTTTAAGCTAAAATTTAGACCACTTATAAAGTGTACTTATAATTTCCCTACATAACTTATTTTCGAATGAAAAAATGTGCGTTTGTGTTTATAGGTACGCCAGAAAATTTTAAATGTTGCAGAAGACTTCTAAAACAGCAATTTACTTGTTTCAATACGACATCATTTATTAAAAGAGTTAATAAATTTGAACAAATATTATCAAATAATAAGTTTCAGAGAATGTGGAGTTTAATAAGTACATAATTTAAAGCAGTTCTTGACGTGCCTAAATAAATACTGTTTAATGTTTGTTGAATTTTGTTTTATTGAAAATTTTAGCAGAATGTGTCTTTTATTTGGAGATCCAATTTGAGTTACTTAGCATGAAAAATCGTAGAGGTTTCCATGCAGAATATTACGAAAACAGTGAGAGATATCGACTAGCACCAAGTAGGTACACATTTTTTGTTTCAAAAATATCGGAGAACGACACATTGGCAACAAAAATAAGTAATTTTAAAACCCAAGATATTTCTGATGTTTAAATTACTACAGACGGTTGCATCTACCACCCTCGACAGATTTTGTTGGTGAAAGTAAAACTGGTTAAAAATCTATTAAAAACATACATTTATTTACACTTTCACACCCCGTAAGTGAGAAACTATTATCGTATAAGACTAATTTGCCTGAAACGCAATATTTTTACCTAAGCAATATGTCAGTGAATTTAGTGACATTAGGTGTAGACCACCCTGTATATTGCAATTGGGCAAAATTGTAATTAAGTGAGAAGACAAGTCCAATTTTTTTCCTAGGAAACAGAGTGCTTTCTTAATTAGAACGCACATGAATTATTCGAAATAAATCACTAAGAACTAAAGGAATTTTGAATCATCTAAATATATTATGGACTTGTCCAATTGCAACTGGCGTTCTTACAATAATAATATCAATTTTTTATAGGCAAACGCAACGTTTATTTAGAGCGAAACCATGCAAGTTTAAAAATTTTTGGTTGATTAAGACTGGAACAAATTAAAATGCTTACCCTGAGCTGTCACTCTTCTCGCCACTGATTTGGAACGCATCTTCCAACACAAATAGTCCAAGCGAGGTTAGCGCGGTTTATTTACTCATTACGCACTAAGAAAAACAGTCAAGTGAAAGAAGCTGAAGTTATGGGTAAACTGCTGAGCCAGACAAGTAAGAAACCGGGTGGTCAATTAAAAAAAAGCGCCTTTTGTGATTAGTCTAAATGTCTTGTCCTTTTCTGTTCAACTTTGGATGTGGCTTGCAAGTAATGTCATGCTCGCGATTGAATCCTTCCGCCCCCCAACTCCAGCAAGTCGCAGGACTGTAGAGACAATAAGAAGCTAGCCAGGCAGATCCTCGCGCACTTGTCACTAGCACGCTGACTTTTTTCTCTTCTTCGTCTCCTACGACGTCGCTCGCGGCCAATAGGCGGTCGCTGTCATGTTTTGTCACTGCGGCGCGATTGTCTGTTGTTTCGTGCGCGCGCGTTGCCTCCAACGTCTCCTCGCAGGAATACATAGGAGCCTAGATAAGAGAATTCTGCCGATTTTGAAACGGGTCGATAGGGTTAGCGGGGTGGGGACAAGGATCTTCTTGGGGGATGAGCCAAGCTCGGCGGATAAAGAGGGGACCCCATCCCACTACCGAGGGGAGTTGGGGATATTGTGGTTTGTTGGAGGTAATATTTTTATTTGGGTCGCGGCTGGATTTTATTATGATGTACGGGATGGTGTGCCTGTTCTGGCGGACTTCTAATGCCACTGGCACGTACGTTTAACAATGTAATATTGCCCTTTCAAATAAATAACCTCATTTAGGTCTTGTATGATGAATGTTTGCGATTTTTTTGCTTTTGTTTGAGCGTATTCACTGTTTTCTTTTGCAGGCAAAGAGTGTCCATTTTTTGTTGTAAATCGCGGGTATCTCAGTTATTATAAAGATAGAGACATGCGGTTTTTGCAATACTGTGGCCGATTTTTGTCAAACGAAAGGCGACGGTGATAAATGTGGACCTTCCATCTGGGTTTCGTAAATATAGGGTGTTTCTGAAAACTATGCGTAAACTAACTCTTTCGTAAACCATTTGTACCTCGAATATAAATTCTGAGTAAACCCTTGCGTATTGTTCGAAATATACAAGGTGTCGCATTTAAGAAATGCTAGGTTTGGCTTGTATCTAATAAAACCTAACTTATAGGAAAGAGCTAACTACGCAACTGGATTATATGTGGAAAAACCTGAAATATCCGGTTTAACCTGTACCTTATTTTGTTTCATATTCGAGATGCGAATGGCGTCGAAAACTGCGGACTTTTCAAACACCCTATATTTGCGAAATTAAAATGGATGAACCGCATCTATTGACTTGTGTTAAGACCGTTTGAGACATCGATTTGGAGTTTCGATGTGTGGCAAACATTCTCAGTGATCTTGATTTAGAAACATGTTTGATTTGAAAGGTCATATATTGGTGTTTACAGAAATGGAACTTTGTGCCTTAGTTGCAGACAATTGCAATTGAAGACAATATTTTTTAGGAAATAGATGGAATTTAGCTATACACCAGTGGCGGCCGGTCAGAGTCAATTTTTTTCGGGGGGCCAGCCAGTGATTTTTATTTCATTAAGCAACTTATTGGTGTAAAATAAGTTTTTTTGTGAATCTAACAATCTGTTTACTTGTTTCTGTTTTAATTAGACAAACTTTCAATTCTGACAAAAATCAACCACAGTTTTTAAATTCAAACTTTTTGTTTCTGGCTGCCACTTGGAGGATGCGCCACTGCTATAATCAACAGAAAATCTTGAATTGATTGGTTTGATTTTTTAAAGTCGAAATAGTCCTTAACAACATAAATTAGTTGAATAATTATCATTTAAGGTTCATTATAATTGTTTGTTAGTTAAATAATTTTTGTTAATGGTTTTTGTTTGTTTTTTTTTTATGAAATGCAGCGTCGATTCTACTAAGATTACTATCATTTTCCTCGGAAATCGCGTCAAACTAATATTGAAATTATGTTTCCTATTAATTTTGTAAAATGAGTAAATGATTATATAAAAATTATGTCAAAATAATGAAAAAAGATCGCGACGATGGTTAAACTTTGCAAGACTAAAATGGACAAAAATAGCTAAAAACTGCGAGAGATTGAAGTTGTTAAAGGAGAACATGTTCAAAAATGGTCGCAGGAAGGTTGAAAAAAAATGTTTGTAAACATTTTTTAATATAAAAATTTAACTGAACATAAGCAGCACTTACGTTTTCAACGTACGCAATTATCTAGGTCTGATCAAACTTAACATTAAAGAGACATTCTTGACTTAAACCATTTTTTTTCAATTAACAGAAATAGGTATTTCCAAACTCACACTCAACGTCAAAAAATTTAACTCCCAAACTTCAATTTTTTTTAAATTTTTACAATTAGGTCAGTGACGTTTCAATTTGTCCTCGTAAGTGAGTGTCTAATTTTAAGCACGCAATTAACATTTCAATACGGGTGATTTGAGCATTGGAGGTCATTGGATCAAAGCAGACAAATGTTACTTAAAGTGCTGGAGCAAAATCGTCCGCTGGAAACTCCGCCTTCTGTACTAACGAAGATGCGCAGCATTTTGTGATGCCCCAAAGCATCCTATCATTGCTGTTGGGATGGGAAGAGGCGTCGATGGGGAATTATCATGTGGGGAACGGTTTGCTGTCTTTCTTTTATATGAACATCTCGCTCGAAAATTTCTTGATGTGGAAACAGCTCAGAAATGAGTAAAATAATATAATATACGGAAGACACAAAATGTTTCAATGTTTAGATATTGCAACTTAAATGTATGCACTTAGTTTGTCAGCTTTATTTGTCTTGTGCATTTTGCCAGCAACTCTATGCATAATGATCAAACATCCAAGCAAAGTCAGTAAACTTTTGAAATAAACATTAATTTAATTTAATTTATTATTGATTAGAGGTTTGGAACGCTACCAATAAATCATAATTCAAATATTCCAAAGGACATCAAACTGTTCCGATATAAATAGTTTTTCTTCCTTCAGTAAACATGTCCTAAACAATGTCTGTAAGCGGGTAATTACAGGCTTACCCTCGTTGGACAAATACGAAGCCAAACTGACAAACAAGACACGTTTCTGTTTGAAGAACAATTAAAATACGATCAGTGAATTATACGGTTATTTTGCTGTAATCGATTGTGGAACGGGTTTCTTGAATCCGATTATGAATTGATAGACATTGCCGGAGTATGGAAATTAGTAGTTTATGCTTCAATATTATCATGCCGACAAAGATTTAAATGTTAAAAGAACGGGGATGTAAGAAAAAGAAAGTTCCTGGCTAAACCATAAAGTTCATTTAGAAATGGAATTGTTGCAGATAATTTTTTAGCTGACGTTAATCTAATTAAGGCAAATATTGCCCAAAGACAGTGTGAGTGTGAACCCTCATTGTTTTGCCACCTTTCATTTTAATAATACATAAAACTGTGATCTAAAAATGTATTTAAAACAATCTGCATGAAAATAAAATACGCTTCGATGTCTTTCACTTCCGTTTTTGAAGAAAAATTTAAGATATTTTTATATAATGACGATTAGACAGATCAAACCCTGCTGATATTTTAAACACGTGCATCTAAAGTAAATTTTGTTGTCCTGCAAGTAATGAAAGTTTTCAATTTGATGAATTTATTAAGTTCCTGTTAAAGTCAGGTATCTGATTAATACAAAAAATGAAGGTAGAATTAGAAGTTCATTAATATTTTGACTTTCATGGACAAATTATAGTTAAAATGTTTGCATACAAAATGTGCTAATAAAAATAATATGTAAGACTCTTGGCTTGCCAAGGCTGATTATTTCATCCACTGGAAGTCTAATTCCGGAGTTTCCCTTGTGGAGCTTTTGAAATTTAGAAAATTTGCGTCCCATTCCTGTAAGCATTGATAGATTTTTGCTAATTGTTATCATTAGTTGCCAACTGCATTAATGCGATTATCATTCGAAAATGTTGGCAAAATATTTTCTAAAGTTAGCAAAATGATGTATAAAAATGACCTAAAAAACCCAGACAATTATTTCGCACAACTTACCGCAACTATCACAAAAAAATACAAATAACTCATTATAGAAGCAGATTGAGATTTGAAATTAGGTCGCATTCGACTCTAATAAAGCATCTTAATAAAAAGTACAAACTTGAGGTGTTCGAGTCGAAAGTCTAAATGAGTTGGAAAAAATCCAGTTTGCATCACAACTTTTTATAATTGTCTTCCGGTGTTTACCATTTCCTGCTCCCGCACATCAAACGCATCAGAATTCGAATCCAGATATTTAAGCAAACGTTATCCAGCCCTTTCCGACAAAATAAAATCCGGTTTTTTACGCTTCTCTCCTCCCGTTTCCAGTGAACTTTGTGACATCATAAACTCTATATAGACGTAAAATATGACATTAAAAATTACTGCAAACCCCCCCAGGACAATCGCCCAGTTCATTGCGCTATATTTTCCTCGGTTAACTTCCATTGAAAAATAGCTGGCCGATCCCACAGACCTTTCCATGGATAGGAAGTGGATTCATCCATGCGAGCAGCGCATTTTAACCACTTATCCACTTACAGATACTTTTGGTTTGTGCTTCTCCCTGCTATGAATCGGCTTGAGGTAAACGGTAGTTACAGGGGGCCGAAGGAGGGTGTGTTGCTTTCCGTCAATATTTTTTTAATCATGGAAAAATATGCGTATGTTGATAAGATGATCAATTAAATATAATATTAATAAAAACATCTGAGAAATAGAAATTAATTTTACAAGTAAGAAGGCAATGAGAAGATAAAATTAAAATTATTTTACTATAAACGTTGTTGGGGCAGCTTCAGCATCCACTGAACGTTCTGTTTTCTAACGGGGTGCTGCTGAGGGCTGTTTATTTTAAGCGGCGGCAGCCAAAGATTGATGCATACTTGATTTGTTTGCTCTATTCCTGCCTGGTTCTGTTTACAGAGCGACGCAGCTAAAACAGATGGTCCAGAGTACAAGGTTTTCGCAAAATTTCCTGAAATTTCCGTAGGATGCTCTCAAATGGGCATTCCTTTTTTGCAAGAGAGGTAAAAATTTGTTATATCAGCGAGTTCAATCCTACTTTTGTTCTTCTCTGATGGCATTTCATTGCTAAAGATTATCGAATAATTTGAGATTAAATTTATAATATGCTCATTACAATGATCTTCTCTTCCCGTCGATTTTAACGTTTTTATATCACTGGAAGGCTTAAAATCCCCAAATGCTCACTTAAAAAATAAGTATTTTCAAGGATTTTAGAAAAAATTATTAATAAAAATTATAAATTAATAGTATATTACGAGATTAAAAACATGTTAAAAATGAACCTCTGAATTTTGTTTCAACTTGTATTCTTCTTATTTATTCTTTCAAATTTTAAAAATTCAAGCTTTAATTTAAATAGGTATTTGACAAAGTTTATA